TGTGTGTGTGTGTGTGTGTGTGTGTGTGTAGGAACGAGAGGACAATCTTCGTGTGTGTGTGTGTGTGTGTGTGTGTGTGTGTGTGTGTAGGAATGAGGGGACAATCTTCCCTTTGCCATACTTGAAAAATTAAAATTTACTGTCGCTCTATTCTCAGGGTCTTTCAGCCTCCTTAATAAATGAGTGCCTAGCCTTAGAAGGTTGTTGACCTTTGATAGTGTGAGGCGATAAAGGCCCCACACACAGTCCTGGGCCCCTAACCCCCTCTTTCCGGATTAAAGTGTAAGGATACAAATGAAATGTGGGGGCAGGGTGGGGGGCGCTAATCGGGACCCCAGCCAAGTAAACAAACCGTGTTACTAAGAAGAAAACAAAGGCCCTGAGTAAGGTGCTTCCCGGGGACGCTAAGAGAAAAGCCTCATTTGTTAAAATGAAACGTCTAAAGAGGTCTGGAGCAGGCCGGCCTGGACGCCGCTCGAGATCGCGGGTCCTCCCGCTGGGCCAGTTAAACGCTCACTTGTCCGGGATTAACCCCATGGGGTTAAATGGGGCCATGCAGAGATAACGTCGGGTGATTTCAGTCATTAAGATTGTGTTAAATTCTTCTTCTGTTTGATAATCGGTCGTAAAAATAAATTATTAGACCGAGGTATGTTTGGGATATGGTTAAAAATCAAGAGCAGCGATGACTCTCGGGGAAAATGCTTTGTGCCGGCTCATCCCTGGCTCCGGCCAGGCTGGAGGGGGGGGGGGGTTGGGGGGGCTCCCCAGTCTCTTCGCACGGGGCGGGCCCGCCGCGGCCGAACCCAGGCTGACGTTTCCCCCTCGCAGCGCTGGGAGCCGGAGACGCGCCCGGGGCTCCTCCTACCCCCGCCCCCTCCCAGCGCTTCCATGACCCCGGGAGCGGTCTCTAAGCACAGGTAGCAGTCTCGGGGAGCTAGGACTCTAGCAGAGGCCTCCTAAATGGGCGAAAAAGTGGTAGGGGTTCGGGGGACCTGAGCACCCCAGTCACTGTCCCGTCAGGCGCCCTGGGCGTTAGCTTTTGGTAATTAGCAGATAAATGAAGAGCTAAAATTAACGAACGATCCTTTCCTTCACTATGACTTTCAAGCCCGGGTTATTTTAATTCCCGCGAACGGCTCTTACCCCTGCATTGCCAATACCTTTTTCTCTTTTCAACTTGTTGGACCCAAGGGGAAATGCCATTCGTAAAGAAGAGGTTGGTGATAAGAAGAAATGCTTTAAAAAATTGTTTTTTCCATTTTATTGGCTTTTAAGGAGCTGATAGACCTAAAATGTCAACGACGACTGAACAAAGCTATATAGTACTGGGGAAGGAAGGTTGCCAGAACCCCCTTTACTAAACAGAAGTAAGTGTACTTTCTGGAACATGCCAGCTCCTAAGCACAGCCTGCGCTTAAAAGACAGATTTTTCTCCTTCATATTTAAGTGGCTTTATTTGTTTTGTTTTTTTTAAAGAATGTTTATAATGACAGGCGATTTTCGGAAAGGGCCATGATAGTCTATTATTGGTACTGCCCGTTCTTCCCCCTTAACCTTGAAGACTGAAAAGGTTCTCGGAAGAGGCAGGATCGACCTCTGGGTGGCCTGGCCCCATGTCCCTTCCCAAGAAAGCCCATCCCCTTGATACCCGCGGGACTGACCCTCCACCTTGCTCGAACCCCTACACCGGTGGGTGCCGTGAGCTTGGTTGGAGACCTCTCAGGGCAGGGGTTTAGGAACGGGTGAGAGGACAAGGATTGGGCATGACAAGTGGAGGGAGAAAGAGTTGGCAAGTTAAGCAGTAACCCCATCCCAGGAGGGCCGAGGTTCGCCGAGCATGCTCCCCGGACACTGATTCCTGCGGCTTTTCCTAGCTTTGGGTGTCCTCAAAGGAACCTCCGTTTTTGCAGAACTCAAAAAATGAATGTTGACCTTTAGGAAGAGAAGGGACTGACCCTTCCCTATCAGTGACCCTTATAAAAGTTGTGCCTCTGGATTCAGGGCTATCAGCGGACCGCGCCGTCGTTTTGGGGTCCCGGTATTGACTCAGCGACCAGACCTGGGGAGGCAACCTGCGCTCGGCCTCCCCCGGCGACGCCTTGGATTATTCAATAGCTTTGGAGAAGCGGAGGCGCTG